AAGAGGGTACATACAGTTAGTCACAGTCAGAGAAACAGGACTACACTGGAAAACAGGCCTGTAAACAAAGGTGTTGATGGCAGCAGCATAGCTGATATTTCTCTCCAGGATGAAGTTATAAGAAATCATTGCATTTTGCTCCATCATCCTTCAAATGTGAAGTTGACCCCTATCTCTGACGGAGGACTCGTCTCTTCTGCAATTTGTGTGTTCTAACTTAAAGTTCTTGTTCATCCAGAAAAAAAAAATCTTTAGTTTAAAGAATATATATGACCAAATTGATGCATTTTATCCAATGGAAGCATGACTAAAAGAAGCAGAGGAGAATTTTAACACGTATTTCCGGCAATACTCCTAAACTTAAGTCTAATTCTCTGCAGCACCAATATCTTCCTCCTTATTTGAATCTTTGCTGATTGAGCCCTCTCTTTCCTCTTTTCATCTTACCTCCATGTCGGCAGGACACGTTCATATTTCCCCCTAATATGCAAACTATCAGATTGTCCCTGACATGTTTCACTGATCCACCTGCAACCCCATTAAAGGTCTAGTGGAGGATGTTCTTTTTCTGGGTGGATCATCAAAATAAGTGGAAAAATTGCAAATTAAGCTTGTATGAGCGAAGCAAATAGCAACTTTTAAACAGAGCGTGCACGAGGAGAAATGGGCTCATGCACGCTCTCGCACACGTTCAATAAGCTTTCCCTCTCGGCAGCGGGTACAGGGTTGTGCATTTTTTATTTGACCCTTTATAGGGCACTCATTGAAATACTTTGAAATTAAACATTTTAAGCTAAGAGTGTTGTAGGGGGACAGAACATGACATCATTACTTCTGTTGCAGTAGAGTTCCCAGCAGTTGCTCCAGCTGTGCTTGAATTTCCACAAATCAGGATCTAAATAAGGGGAAGGTATGCGGTAACAAGTCTGTGCACGGCTTTATACATCCAGCTTTTTTTTTCTCCCTAGCACCAACATTTAGTTTGAAAGCTGTTTACTCTTTCATCCATTTGGCTTCAGAAGGAACCGGTTCTTGCTGTCAGGGGTCAAAAGTCCTCTTTAAAGATGAAAGTAAACTTTACATTTCATTGGGAAAGGAGGAAGAGTTGGAAGCAGCTTTGTTTTCGTCAACGATGAAGATGAGGAAATCATTTCTTTGACGCTCCTTTTTTTCATGACAATAACAAAAACTGACGAGCTAAGCGTGGATCTTTGATGACTAAAACATGACTAGCGCTAGGTTTGAGTTTTCGTCAGCGAGACGAGGCTAAATAAAAAATAGCGGGTCATCGATCAGGCGATAAAAATGCGTCATCATGCTGTAATCTGCTAATCAGTATCAGCCCTGCTGCTGCGTCTTGTTTGATCCTGCAATTAGTTTCTCTCTGTATTTTTTTATGTCAAACCCTGTAAATTTAAATGCACTTTGACCCCTGAGCAGCGCAATTGCAGAAATAAAGCCAAAAATGCCAAAGTAGAAAGAAGAATGTTTTTGTGCTTTGCTTTTTTGGAGTAATGAACATTTTATTGATCTGTGTTTAATGCATAAATCATAGTAGATCAGGAAGTGTTTGCTTTTGAATGGAAACCTTTTATGTCTAAAACTATTCCTTTATTGAACATTTTG